TTCGCAACGCATTTTTTCTAACAAGAACATGCTGTCGGGACCACCCGAAACGGCTAGGACATATAGCCTATTTTTAGCAAGTGATTTATTATTGGCAAGCAATCGAAAAGGATTATTCAATTTTTCCAGCAATAATATCATTAACTAATTCCGGGTAAGAATTAACATAAACAAAGCCCTGGGGAGATTTAAAGGATTTTTTTGGTTTCTGACTAATTTTTTTTAAACCGCCTTTTTATTTCCCTTTCTAAACAAGTAAACCAATACTCCTACCACTAAAACCACGCCAGCCCCAATAGTTAAACCAATTGCTAGTTGATGGTTATTTGACTTTGGACCAGTAGAATTATTAGTATCGGATTTAATCCCTAATTGCTCCTTAGTAATTTCGCTTTCATGATTTTTTTGACAATATTCCTTTAATGTTCGGTATTCCGAATTATTAGTCAATTGGTTATTACTTATAATTTCATTATTATTATGCGTGATTATTAATTCCCCATTTTCAAAAGTTATTTTTTTAATATTTAATTTTTGGAAAATGTTTTTTAATTTTGCTAATTCGGTATTAGTTAGTTTTTGGTTATTGACTGGCAAAGGTGAACCATTTACTAGGGCTTTAATTTTGGGTCAATATTTTTTTATTTCGCTAGTATTGCCACCTCAACAATGATTAACTGCTAATTTTCAATACCGCCGGCCAGACGGCTGATGTTTAACCACTTGATTTAGGCTTTTTTTGCTATAATTTTCATTTTTTCCCCGCTCAATTTTTCACTCGGAAGGATTTTGTCTAATCTCTTGTATTATTTTCTTAACTAATTCTCTTTTCACTTCATAATACTCAGGGCAAGAATTATCTCAATTCTCCAAATCTATTTCTTCGCCCTCAATGATTATTTTCAAGTAGCGGTTTTTTCATTCCTTCTGATGTGGCGAGTTAAACGCTTTTTGGTATTCTTCCTCGGCTTCGTCTGTTTTCAAATATTCATTATTCGCCAAATAGCCATCTGGGTCCAAACATATTTTATCCAAATTTCGCAATAATTTTTCTTTTATGCGGGAATTATTATTTTCCTGTGGTTGCTCTTTGCCCGCAAAATATTTTTTGGCACATTCGGGGTGAAAATAAGCAATAATGTTAGGATTTGGTTCGTCGTTAACTTTTTCCCCATCCCACAATCCCATTCAACCGTTCTCTTCCAAGGCTAATTTGCCACAAACCGCACAATTTTTCACTTTTGTTTTCCTGCCAGCATTTCCCCCTTTTGCTTCCGAAACAAGTATACTGTCATAATCATCATATTTGGTAGTATCCTTGTTCGTTCGGTAAGTGAACCACCCCTCTTTGCCATCTTTTTGATAATCCAAATAATCATTAAAACTGAGTGGAAAATTAAATTTCTCGCGACAATATTTTTTCAAGCGAGGCGAAAGAATTTTTATTCACCTTCCTCTCCCCTTTCCGCTTTTTTTTTCAGTAACGAATTCATAATCAATTCCTTCCTGATACCCGGTTTGGATTTGTTGTATTAATTCTTGAATTTCTTCAATTACATTATTGTTTTTTACCATAGTCTTTAATATTTTAACTTTATTATATAATAATTTTATAGTTTTGAATAGAGAACCAACTACTTTTGATTTTCTTTTTCTTCTTTATTTCAACCATGTTTTTTAAGAAAATCATTAACGGATTTTCTTTCTTCGGCAGTCATTCCGTCCTTTTCTTCCCTTTGCCGATAGTCTGGGTCGGCTTCATCCTTCACCGGCATTAAAAAGAACTTACTTAACATATACTTAATGGCATAAGTTTCACTAGAACCTTTGGCTTTGGCTAAGTCCACATTACTACCGGCCGCTCAAAAGTTAAATAATAATCTCTGCTCGGGGCTTTCCGCATCTACTATCTCTAATTTTTTTAAATATTTAATAAAATGTTCTTTGCCCTCTCTTTCATGGATAAAGGGTTGAGTAGTGTCATCACTTAGCAAGAGAGTTAGTTTATATTTATTCAGCAAAGGTCTTAATAGTTTGAGGACTTGTAATTCATTAAAGAACTTATATTTTTGAAATTTATTTTCCTCGGTGCGAATGAGTTCTTTAATTTCGGATTGGAGGAGGTGGAGTTTGGTGTAGATATTTAATTTTCCCATAATTATCTCATTTTATTTATTCCTTAATTGGAACCAGAGCCTCCGGAGAATTTATTTTAGCAAACTCATCCAGTAAATTATCAGAATGTATTTTTTCCAGGCAGGATTTTAATTCGCCTTCTCGGTTAGTTAAATTCACTTTTTCCTTAGCGATTAATAAAAATTCTACTCCTTCATAGTTTAAAAATTCACTGGTAGCCAGAGGAATAAAGGAATAATTAGCAAATTTGTTTTGCAAAGAAGCAGGGAATTTAACTTTTTGTTTTTCGGCCAGTCCCACACCAGGGGGAGTAGCCGCTTGGGGATTTTTAATATTAATCAAATAATCGTCCTCCTTTTGTAAATTAAACTCCTTTTGAATTTCTTTAACTTGCGAAGGATTAGTTAACTGATATATAAAATGAGTGTGGTCGTTATGAACCACCAATAAATATTTTCCAGTTCCGAGGCATTGGGAAACTGGCAAAGTTCGCTCTCCTTTGGTTTTAGTTGAATAATGTTTTTCACTTAACGCCGATAATAATTCTTCCTTCTTATTTTTAATGGCTTCCAAAAACAAAAAATAATTGTTTTTTTCGGTAGGAGGTAATTGTTT